CGAAGGTCAGATAATATCTTGTTTTGCAAAACTGTCTACAAATTAGCGGGCAGAACGGCGCTTCATTTCTTTTGTGGATTTCTATATCGTCGATAAGCTTGCCTCGTTTATTAACCTATGGTTGGGCAAATCATAAAAGGTCGGCAATCTGACGACTTCTGAATGTTACAGCTCATTCTTTACATTTAGTGAGGCATTCGATCATTTTCAAATACCCATCATCCACTTGCGCATCATAAAAAACCCACGGCCTTGCCGGTCAATATGAGACAAGTTTATTTTTTCGTCCTGCGGAACAGACATCCTTCCATGTTTCTATGATAATGCTTGGACGGTCGAGCATTTTTGTCCCTATGTGAAACAAATAGCTGTCGGGGAAATTTCACTTTCGTGAGGTGGAAAGGGCGAACTCTGAAATGAATAAGCTGTAGAGTCAACTCCCTCAACTATCGTATAACCACCATTCTCTAAAAGTAAAAATTGACTGTCTCTACATTTTAGGAATATCACTACCGCTCTTATAATCATGTACCAGCGTTAAGGATGAGTCTAATTGCGGTAGTTAAATTTTCATCAGAACCCAGCATTAACTGAAGACTGACCACCTTAAAGAATCTGCTGCTCCTCAACTGTATGATACGGTTGTAGGGACTAGTGAACAGTTGATCGCCACATGTGTTCATGTCTGGTCTCTCTGATAGACGCGGATTGGAGTCCTTAGATAATGAGCGATAAGTGCTATGGGCGCGTTCGAGGACCGGCGTCAGATCCTCGTTGCTTGAGGTCATCCATCCAGATCCATGTGTGTCTGGAAGACTGGCCTCACAGCATGATGCACTCCGAATTCGCCACCAATGGGAGAGCGAAGCATCGGCGGATCTGTGTGGGCGTCGAAATACATCCACCATTCGCTGACTTCGTCCCCTGGGCTTTCCTGTATGTGGGAAAAACCCTTTTAGCCGTCTTTCAGTCAGATATGATAAAATTATCAAAGACCCCTAAGCAGTGATGAACACTTTCAGCGGGGAGACTGATTTAAACCTTTCAAGAGATTCCATAAACTTGGGAGCATTTTGAGGCAAGAACTGCGAAGTAGTGGTCGACAGTTAATACTGTTGTCACTTCCAAGGAAGATCCTTGGATAACATG